TGCGCAGCCGACTTCCCTTTCTACCCAAAACCTTTCAAGTTTTCCATCTCACCGCTTTCTAGACCAGCGGTTCCCAAATCGTGGGTCACGACCCCCAGTGGGGTGCCAACAGCAGTGGATGGGGTCGCGGGGGTGGGGAGCTGGGAACGAGGGGCCACACTGAGGAAAATGGGGTCATGCCGAGGTGAAGTTTGGGAAGCGCTGACCTAGACGGAGGCAAGGGCAGATTGGTTTAAAAAAAAAGAAAGAAAAGCGCTTGGCACTTGCAGCGAGTTGGATGGGACGACCACCGAACGTTTCAGAGACATTGAGACGGTCAAATACCCCCACGAAAGGGGTAAGAAATACCATCCTGGTTTCAGGCGGACACAGCTGTTTGGGTAAGTCTGATATCTCTTATTAGACCGACTCAAATCGCTGGAAAAATTCTTCTTCGCAAGCTCGCGGGTATAAATACCCCTGGTCGGGCTGAGGAAGCTCTTCCTGGAGGGAATGAATAGTAAAGAGGCCGGCGGCCGGTCTGCATGCCAGGAAAGGCCGTCGGTGAGGATGTAAACTGAGGAGTCGGGGGGCGAGGCACCGACGGGGAGTGGGGGGATGATGAACAGCGGAGAGGTACCTGCGGAGTCAGGTTATAACATAGCATAAATCCAGTGTCCATGATTTTCTGCATCCGGCAGGCTGAAGGGAAGCTCACCCTGGCTCAGTGCTGCCAACTGAGGCTCGAGGCCGGGACGTGAATGATCCGCGGTCGCTTTTTGTGTCTTAATGACTTGTCAGGCCCGACTGCGGACCCAGGACGAGACGAAGGGAACGGTCCCGGGAGCGGCGGGGGGCAGGGAGAACACCCCGGTCTCCTGCGGGAGGAGGCTGCAGCCCGCGCCGCTCACCCCGGCGGGAGCAGGCCGAGCCGGGGCGGACCCGCGCGGTTGCCACAGCAACTGCTCCCACCTCAGCGCTCAGCCTCGAGCCTCCCGGAAGATGTCGTTCCTCCCCGAACTACAACTCCCAGAACACCTTGCGGGCCCAACCGGACGTAGAGGCAGGGAGCGGGCTGAGGCAGGTGATTGGCGGGCTGGCATCCAATCAGTGCTTCAGGCGCACTGCGCATGCCCGGGCCCCTGGGCGCACTAGATCAGGCGCCCATGGGGGCTGGGCTGACTGATAGCACCAGCGCAGCTGGTGATAACTGGGAAGGACAGCTTCCCTCTGCCGTAGTCACCGCATCCACCGGGGAGTCCCTCCCCCCATACAGAATTGAAGGCTACTCCAAACAGCTGAGCAAATCATTCAGCAGCTTGGGCTGGAGTCCTGCGGGCGGGGGAGAGGCTTGCAGGGAAGCTGGTGGACAAGGGGCAACAGTCCTCCCCCTTCCTGGCTGCAGTGGGTGAAGCATTTCTTCAGACCAGGGTATCAGTGGCTGCCTGTGTGTTACCCCTAGTAATCCTGGGGCATGTTAAGGACTTGCAGAGAAAGCGTGGTCTTGAAACGGGTGTAGGTTGTAGCCGTGTTGGTCTTGAAACAGCACCAGAGCTGCCAGGGCAGTGCTTGAGAGGCAGGTGCTTACTTCAAAAGACAAGGAGCCAAACTTGTTGCACTGGCACGTGGAGGAGCCGAGCTGGAAAAGCAAGAGCTGTCAAGGCCCAGTAGCCTTATGCAGGGCGGAGCTCTTTGTTCCTTGCCCATGTCTTTCCTCACAGACGTGTGAAGGAGGTTAGTTACGCAATCCCCTACCTGCATTCAGCACACTTGTTCAGGCACCTGAAGCTGGTTCTTGCTTCTGTTTTGGATCAATCTGTAGGGGTCTGGGCTCTTCCTTGGAAAAGGCCCAGAGGCATACACCCAATGGAAGGGACAGGCCATCACCAGGGAGGACTATATCTCCATTGCTCAGGATTGTAGGGGGGCTGTTAGGAAGGCCAAGGCGGAGATGGAACTGGGACTAGCAACCCAGATCAAAGATAGCAAGAAGTCCTTTTTTAAATACATCGGGAAGAAAATAAACATTCCAGGTAACGTGGGTCCTCTGCAGGACACGCTTAGAAATCTGGTCATCACACCAGACGACAAAGCTAACCTATTTAACAATTTCTTTGCCTCCATTTTTCTGAGCAGGGACCAGGTCATCTCCCCCACCGGAATCCCAGGGCCAGAGAAGACCTAGTCAGGGAACTTCTGGAGGGACTGGACATGTTCAAATCAGCAGGTCCTGACGATTTCCACCCCAGAGAGCTGAGGAAATTAGCAGAGGTCATTGCAGGACCCCTGGCACAGCTTTACGAGCACTCATGGTGCTCTGGCGAGGTGCCAGAGGATTGGAAAAGGGCCAATGTGGTCCCCATTTTCAAAAAAGGAAGGAGGACCCAGGAAATGATAGGCCTGTTAGTCTTACCTCGGTCCTGGGGAAGCTTGTTGAGAAAATTATCCAGGTGCACATCTGCAAGGGGCAAGCAGCAGAGTGTATGCGTAGGGGCAACCAACATGGGTTCATCAGAGGCAGGTCCTGTCAGACCAACCTGGTGGCCTTCTATGACCAGGTCACAAAATCCTTGGATGCAGGTTTCGCGGTGGACATAGTCTTTCTGGACTTTAGGAAGGCCTTTGACACTGTCTCTCACCCCATTCTTGTTAAAAAATTAGGAGATTGTGGTATCGATGCCTACACAGTCAGATGAGCCACCAATTGGCTGGAGGGCCGCACCCAGAGAGTGGTGGTGGACAGGTCTGTTTCAACCTGGAGGGATGTGGGCAGTGGGGACCTCCAGGGCTCAGTCTTCAGGTTCGCACTGTTCAACATCTTCATCAGCAAATTGGACGAGGTGGTGAAAAGCACCTTGTTCAAATTCACAGATGACACTAAGATGTGGGGAGAAGTGGGCACGCTAGAAGGGAGGGACAGGCTGCAGTTGGATCTGGACAGGTAACAGCAGTGCGCAGATGAGAATAAGATGGGTTTCAACACTGACAAGTGCAAGGTGCAGCACCTATGGAGAAAGAACCAGCAGCAGACCTACAGGCTGGGGAACTCGCTAACTGCACCTTGTCATGCATCCACAGATGCATCACGAGCAGGTCCAAGGAGGTGATCCTCCCCCTCTATGCGACACTGGTCAGGCCGCAGTTGGAGTACTGCGCCCAGTTCTGGGCACAGCACTTCAGGGGGGGATGTGGACAGCATTGAGAGGGTCCAGAGGAAGGCCACTTGCATGACCAGAGGGCAGCAGGGCAGGCCCTATGAGGAGAGGCTATGAGACCTGAACCTGTTCGGCCTCTACAAGAGAAGGCTGAGGGGATCTGGTGGCTGTCTATAAACTGGCCAAGGGAGACCAGCAGGCAATGGGAGAGTCCCTGTTCCCCCGAGCACTACTGGGAGTAACAAGGAACAACGGCCATAAGTTGACGGAGAGCAGGTTCAGGCTAGACATCAGGAGGCACTACTTCAGAGTTAGGGCGTCTAGGATTTGGAACCAACTTCCAAGGGAAGTGGTGCTTGCTCCTACCCTGGGGGTCTTCAAAAGGAGGCTAGACAATCACCTTGCCGGGGTCGTTTGACCCAGCGTCCTTTCCTGCCCATGGCAGGGGGGCGGACTTGATGACCTGCTCAGGACCCTTCTGACCCTAGCAACTATAAAACTATCATTAGTAGGGTGCACCAATAGAGAATTTTTGGGCTGATACTGATAGTCAATTTTTAACAAGCCGTATTGGCCAATACCAATCTTATTGCCGATATGCAGCCAGACAGCATGGAGAGCAGCGTCCGGCTGGTAAGTCTTATGGGGAAGGGCAGACTGAGGTCCCCTCTGTGCAGCGCCTGCCCCTGCTCCAGCCCCACTCCCTCCCTCACTGACGTAGCCTTGGTCTGCCCCCAACATGGCCCTTCCCTCACCCCTCTCCCCTTCCCCCACAACAGACTTGTCAACCAGACCCGGCTGCTTTCCACTGCTGGGCTGTGCTTCTGGCTGCCTGCGTGGTGCGCTGCAGCTGTGCACATTCACAGGGCATTTATTGGCCACATTATCAGCCACATCACCCAAAAAAAGCAGACTGCCAATGCCGTCAATGTTCCTTATATCTGTGCCGATCTGATATGAGACCGATGTATCGGTGCACCTCTAATCATTGGATTTTTTTTTTTTTTTTAAACTAAGCATTTCGTTTAGATTTAATGCCCAGTGCTGTCCTCTTGTTGGAGTGCTACAAACCCTCCCAACAGAAATGTTGCCTGAGTGCATCTTTAACATGTTCTAAAACGATCACCAGAACCAGATTCTCAGTTCCACCTCTGAACCACAGGACTCCGGCTTACCTTAAGGGGAGTTCCTGAACCTCAAAGCTGCTCTTCATCGATTGGGGGAGTTTCTGTAGCCAAACAAAGTCAATAGAAAACAAAACCTAAGCAAGCTCTTTTTGTCTTTAGTTGCACAGATTCAGAGAGGAACACAAAATTCTGTTAAAAGCTAAATCTTTAATCTGTTAATACAGAAAGCAATTGTGCAAGTTTCATTCAGTATAAAATGGACAATTTTTAAACAGATCAGAAGTACATGGGGCGGGGTGGGGAAAGGAAGCAGAACTGCAGGCACTCCACTTGAGAGAGGTTTTTGTTTGCATGCAACACCACTGTGGATACAGGATACTACAGATAAAGCTGAATGGGGCAACAAGACCCAACCCAACCAATTCTTGTTCACAAATATTGGCTTTGTCATAGGTCATTTTTGCAATTTCCGCCAGCAAATGGTGACTTTTCACCACAAATTATTACATTAGTGTTTGTAAAATGCTTTGCAGCTAAGTGCTATGAAAATGCTAGAGATTAAAACGATGGCGGAACACCCAATAAATTGCTCCCAGCTGAAATCTGCCCTTACTTTTCTGTTAAAAAAAAGTATCACTGTTTTCTCCTTTTTGGTTAGCCATCAACTGGAAACCTCAAAGACTGGAGGTGCCAAGTGGATATGCGATGGGGGTGTTGGAAAGGCAGGGGGAGGAAGGAAATAATGGAATTTCCTAGAGAAAGCGCCCTGGATAGGTTTGATTGAGGCAGTGCTCCATAAGGGAGTAATTCAGAGATGCTGCAAGAGGCTAGAATTGATGCAGAGAAGGAAGGGTGGGAACTCCTGCCAGACAGAGAATGTAGTGCTCAGGCAGACTTGAGTCATGATGTGGGGATTGAAGTGTTAGGTGTCACAGAGCTACAATAAAAGCCCAAGAACTCTCTTAACCAATGAAGCCTGGTTCCGGACCAGGTCTCCTTGCAAAGAGCAAGAAACCAGAGAATTTAAACATCAGTTTTGTGTTTACGTATGAGGGCACCAGGGCAAGAGAGGCTGGTACTAAACTGAAAACGAGAATGAAAAGGGTTGTTTTTCTTAACAATAACAATAAAAAAAAGTACAAGACATATGTGCTTCTCGGCTGCTATTGCCTAAACATAGTTAACTACTTAGTAGTAAAATCCTGCTACCTTTCCCTGATGACAGCAACTCCTGCACTTAGCAGCTTCACTCATGCAAGCCTTGTATGCCCCTAATGCTTTCCCAAATGTTTAAAAGGTTCATTTCTTACCATAATTATAATTGCACTTTAAAAAAAAGCAAACAAACCAACGTCCAGTTCCTAAGCAAATCTTCCCACTGACTCTCTTCAACTGATTTAAACAAAAAACAAAAAAAACCCCCAAAAGCAGAATGGATGGTTACAATTATTTTCTGTCTTATTAGAATTGGAAAGATTCAATTCAGGTGCCTGAAAGGAAGGGTAATGACATCCAATTTCTAGACTTGGAGAGTCTGTGTGTTTTCAAACATGGGGCCAGTTTCACAGCTTGGCTTGCATCGGCTTCAAGTGTTTGTGGAAAGACTCATGAACCTGTAGGAAAAAAGGGAGATCAGATAAAAAAAAAAAATCAGGTTCTTATTTGTAATAAACATACACAAGGTATCTATACGTGAACTGAAGCACTGAAAACGTGGCCAC